GAGCTCGGCTCGTACTCTTCCTTCGTGTATGTGAATTGAACTCTTCTCGTTACGCTGGATCTTAATTCAACGTTGACCTCTTAAGCAGTCTGAGTAGCGATCGATTGTTGATACTCCACATACGAAGTCCTCAGAAGTACATCTTTTGGAATCGAACTCACTAACTGATTCACTATCGATCGGCAATCCAGTTCAACGTCCCGACTCCGAAGTGCTACTGGTCTCTTGTCCGATTTTTCGGTGATTGTCAACCTCTGCTTGGTCTCCATCCATTCATGGTCATGCCGTTCAACCTCTCTGTCAAGCTGAGTTCAAATTTAAATAGTTATTTTACCTTTGATTTTTTGTGAGGTTCTGGGGGTTTAAAATTTGATGATTTGGCAATGTTTTGGACTAAATTATTCGTGCTTTGAAGAGTTTATTCAAAATCTTATAGTTTAACTCGAATTTTTGATGCGTGGCGAGTTATCGAGCACAACAATTTCGTTTAAACTGAATTGAGGCTAGCCAATCGGTCGTATCAGTTTCGTACGACTCAAAGTTTTATTCTTTGATACTGTCCAAAATTTATAGGTTTTCAATATTTTTTTCCTAAGAACTTATCGATATGATTTAAGGGACAGTCGGAACATTCAAGGCTTTGCCCTTATATTCGAACAGTTTTATTAGAATGTTGAATTCCAGTCAGACAGATTTGAGTTTTGTATGGAAAGAGTCGATCTCAGTCTAACTCTCGCAAACTTAGTATTTCACACATGGTCCGTTAGATTGAGGAATTTCAAATCAAATCTAGGGTACAACTTTATACTAGACAGTAGAATCAATACTATGCTAATCAGCAAGTCAAATTTATCCGGTCGAAAATGGATAGCGTTTTTAAGTTCAGGCAGTTTATTTATGAGGAAGCACATTTTTAATCTGACCCAAATTATCTTATAGATCAAATAAAATGATCTAGTTCAATTATTGCTAACATTTTGATAGTAAATTGTCAAGAAAACAACTGCTCATATCAGGACGAAGCCTTGAATGTTCCGATTGCCTTTTAAGATCTATGGAGCAGTAATTACATGAAAAAATTAATTGTAAGAAAATAAAATGAAAGTTTTTTTAATTCAATTTTTTTTCCTGAAAATCATCCCCCCACACGGTATATTAAGTACAAAGTGATAGATTTTGCTCCTAGTAACAATTCAATTACCGCAAATAAGCTTCCTTCAACCAATTTGGAATGATTCCTAAGACAGATTAAATCTCCGGTTACGCGTAGTTATTATATAGCGCATTGTCCCAAACTGACCAAAATGGCAATTTTCACACCCTCATAATTTTACAAAAATATCACCACAGGTGAAATATCTTTTTGAGGTTATGCTCAAAGTAACAATTCCTTTTGATTGAATTAAAAAATTTTTGTCAGAAATGGCTAATTAAAGAGTCGAAATTTGTCTGAAGAAAAAAAACCACCCGAGCACAAATAGTCCGTTACTTTCGTTATGAAAGTCGGAACAACACTCTATTTAAACAAAAACATAAATTGCAAGCAAAAAGGTTAAAAAAGGAATTTCCGGTCTGCTTAAAATTCGTTACATTGAATTTTTTTTCTCAGAGCAGTATAAATGAACATAAAGTTCATAGAAATTGATTTTGCCGGACTAAATTCAATTGTGTAAAATTTTTACTTCAAATTAGAATTTAACTACAATTTCATTTGTGATTTGAAAGGCTGAGTGGCAAATATTATTCTGCTGGTTTAAAGTTTGCTACAGCATTTAATTTAATGAAAAGGAAACATCCGTCTAATGAGCTTCTAATGCAAATGTTGTTTGATCAATTTCTTGAATGTACCTTCTTCTAAAAAACTTTCATAATTTTGTCTTGACTTTTGTCATTTAGTGAAAAAGTCAAATCTTATTAATTCAGATTAGCAGGTTAAGTTTTTGTCCGACAAAATTTGTAATATAGCTTGGTAACACATAACAGATCATTTTCCTCAAATTGGGCTGACATCAGGTGCGACTCAGGACACAACTAATTTTGCGAAGTTGAGATCCAGATTCAACTTAAACCTCCAATTAGTCTCCAATTATTTCATATAATAAGTTGATCAAAATCAGCTTTTACTGTGCGGACGCTTCTTCTCAAGATTCGGCCCTTTGGTATTATTTTATGGCATCCATTTTCTACCAACCAACCTTAAAGTTTTGCTGAAATTGCCTGCAACAAGTTACTAGTTTTGAAGGAAGACGCGCGTTAAAAATTTCCCAAAAACAGCAATTTTGACCTGTTTTTTCAAAAATTTGACTTGCGACCCAATTTTTTTGTCAAATTAGGGTTTTTATAGAGTTCCGGGAGTGCTCGGAAAATCAATTTGCTCGACCTAAAATTTCGGCGGACTGTTTTTTGTCTGAAAGCGCACGCAATTAGTTATGTTATGCTTACAGGCAGACATGCTAATCGCTACACCATAGCTTCTCCTATAAACCGGATCAAAACTGAAACATGTTGATTTGAAGGTATGTGGCTGCCATTCAATTGAATTTGAACCTCGTCGACAAATGAATGTGTTACGAGATAAGCTGTGTACAATTCAGAAACACAAAACTTTGCGGGTTTATTACTAAACCAGAAAAATCTCTAAATATGAAATAGCAAGTTCATTGACAAAAACAGTGGCAAATTCGAAAGCCATCTGGTCGTAATTTATTTTGTGTCCTGACATAATATGTGTATTAAAATCTGCAGCAAATTAAATTGATAAGTTTTTATTGTTCCGTCTTTCGATACGAAAGTAACGGAATATTTGTGCTCGGGGTGGGTTTTTTTTTCTTCAGACAAATTTCGACTTTTTAACTAGCCATTTTTGACAGAATTTTTTGATATCATTCGAAAGGTATTGTTGTCCTGAGCTTGAATTTGAAAAGATATTTCACCTGTAATCATTTTTCGTAAAGTAATGAGGGTTTAAAGATTGCCATTTTGGCCATTTTGACCAATTTGGGACAATTAACGCGCGATATATTTTGCGCTACTAACGCTTAAGCGGAGATTTAATCCGTCTTATAAATCGTTCCAAATTGGTTGAACGAAGCTTATTTGCCATAATTGATTTGTTACAAGGAACAAATCTATTTTTTTGTATTTTATATGGCGTGTGGGGGGATGATTTTCATGAAAAATTGCAAATTTTAGAAAAAAAAAATTTCATTTTATTTTATTTCATTGAATTTTTTAATGTTATTACTGCTGCTCCATAAACCTTAAAAGGCAGTCGGAACATTCAGGGCTTCGCCCTGATACGAGCAGTCTTGTCTTTGTTTTGGAATCGCACGTGTTTTTCAACGATTCGACTCTAGATCTTTTACCAGCAAAGCTATCAAAGATAATGAGACTTTTCCTTGAGTTTGACAAAGTGATTTATTTTGCTCATAGCAAAGTTTTAAATGGACCAAATAGCTTGTCAGATTGTTATTTGGACCAAATGGACCACATAGCTTGTTATTTTTTTTCAGAATTGACAATCTACACAACTCTGGCGCAATGTTGGCAACCTTAAGTATTTCAGTACTTTTTACATCTTGCTAGACAATGGAAGAAGATATTTAGCCAAATCTTTCATCGGTGGCGACAGCTGAAAAGTATCTTGCTACAGAAGAGAGACATCGGAAATGGCACGAGTGAAAGAAAATCATGCTTTTGATGTATTTATTGATAAACTACGTACTAGAAATGTCAATAGAAAAAGTTATCATTCAAATAACTTTTAGAAAAAACTATCGCTAATTGTTCCGTCTTCCATGTATGTTTTTCCTTGTGCTGGTTTTATTATTCAGCAATTTTTCGATTTCTTTATTAAGCAATTTTGATCAAAATTTTTAAACCAGTTAATAGATATTGTTGCCTGGAGCCCAAATGTAATCATTTTCAACTTTGATTGTGTTTCGTTAAGATATGGGGTTTAAAAATTGTTAACTTGGCCAATTTGTGATACCCGCACTGAATTTTTATAGATAATTATCTGTTATTTTGGGTTTATACAGTCTGTCTCTCAATTATTTGAAAACAATTGATTATAACTGACTAGAAATAGATTATATTGTTAATGTTTTCGGAATCAAAAAAATCCATTTTTTCATCGATTATAATAAAATTCTTTCAACTTGTTTTCAAACATTTTTTTGATGGAAATATGATACTTTTTTATCTATTATAACAGATTAAAACCGGTTTTTTAAATCTTTTTGTGTGCGATTTTCATTTGTTCATAATGATTATGAACTCAAGTTAATTATTTTGTTTTCTCGATAAAAAACATTTTTATCTATCTTTTTTCATGGACTTTACATAGAAAAAGTAATCGGCTATATTGAAAGTAAAAATAATAATAATTGTTTGCAATGAATTTTTTTAGACTTTTTTTGAAAAGAATCGATTAACGGAATGAATATCCATTGCGTTTTTCTAAATTTGTTACGATAATCGATCATCTACACAACCTTTTAGTCAACAAAAATCTAATATAATCGATTTTTTTCCGTGAAACTTTGGTGCGGGTTGATCAAAATTTCTTAAACCAAATGAATGATATTGTTGTCTGGAGCCCAATATCTTGGTGCGAGCCCTAATGCGAACAAAGAGCCTCAAATCACGAAGCTTATCAGAGCAGAAAAATTATTCCACACCATTGATCTTCATTTTCTAATCTTTTTTTGAAAGTTAATGATTTTATATTGTTCAGTAAAAATGGGTAATCACGATACAATAATCGGTATAAGATGAAAAAGAAAAGTGTTTGTGCAGTCTCGTTGTGCTATGCTATGGCAATAATTCAAAACTGAATACACTGTGTAGCAAAGAATTTTTTCAATAGATTGATTGGTGACTAGTTTGAGTGGTTTTTGCGATAGAATGTATTTTTAAAAATGGGTAACAATAAATTTGAAGCTGCTTTAGTAAAAATAAACGAGACTTCTTTTCATTTCGTTTTAGTGATTATCAAATTCATCAAGACAGTGATTTGATACTTCATACCTGAAACGATTGAGTTATTTTTCGTGTTCGAACTAAGTTTGCTAATGTAAAGATTTTACTTTGAATGACCAGCAAAAATTTTAACTAGCAACTTGAATAATCTAGCCAGAAAATAGCCATGTTGTCAATGGCGCTGAAGTTGACTGTGTTTATCCTCATTTATGCCAAGTTTACAAACTCACTGGGTAAGCTGGTTTCACTTTCAACTTTTTAACAGCATTTCTCATCCTGAATTCTATTGGAGGAAATGTAGCGCGCAGAAACTTTCTTTTGAGTAGTTTTTTAATGGAAGATTAATTGTCTTATATGTACCGTTTATGTCCTTGAGTATGAAGAAAAACAACTAATCGAAAAAACAATACAGGAAAAATTTGAAGGCTATCGTGAAACTAAAGTTTTGCTTTTCCGTTTTTGGGATGGCATAGGCTTATATTTTGGAATGTTTTTTTTCTTTCTGAAAAGTAATTTTACAATTGAGGGTCTATATAAATTTTCGACGTCACACGCAACTATTATTCAGAAATCACGAGGTGAAACTTTAATCTTAAAAAATTGATACGTATTCACTAGTACCAAAATGGAAAAGTAAAATCGCCTGTACCAATTTAAAAGCTCAGCCTTTTTTGTGACAAAAATGTTGAACTGGTCAAAGAATTACTTATCCAATTTCCTCAGGTTAGGTCGCCGGTCGGGTCGACCTGTCAGAGTTCACTATTTTGATGCTTAACTGAGTTGAAAAATTATATTTCTCCATGGGGTGGTTTTTATTGTTTCAAAGGCTTTGAAAAAATGCAACCGTTTTACTGAATTAAAAATAAGGAGTATTAGATGAGAGCAAGTGCAGGTAGATTGGACTTGAATATGATGCTCATTTTTGTAGACATTTGACTCAAAACTCAAATATTGACACCAACTTTCCGATGAATTAGGATAAGTGAGTTGGAATCTTTCCATTAGTTCATCGTTTTATCATTTTTCTAAAAATTGGTGGTCAAAGTGTAAAAAGTCAGCATTCGTGCTAAGTCAGCGTTCGAGAGTTATTGTTTGAATAAGGATAGCTTAACTGATTTTATTTATGTAAACTTACCTTATCGGATTACAACTTTTTCACATGGAGCAGCCAGCAGGAAACGGCGTCGCGAGGAGCGGAAACCCCGTTGAGGATAACGGCATTTTAGCCAAGCAAATGTGCGGAACCTCCGATGATATCGGTGAACATTATATCTATATCGGTTCACCGTGGACGTAATTGCAGAAAACAGCTTTAATCCGACATCATATTCCTTCGCGAAAAGACTGATGGCGACACAGATCACGGCGCTAGCGCAGGACGTGTTGGGGAAAATCGTGAGGAGACGGTGCAAACGATCATTTTGAATCTATACAACTGTTTGGGCGAACATAGTTAGGACGAACTACACAATCGAAAAACCCATTTGAACTTGACAACCATCACAGACCCTAGGGTTTTTGATGAGTTTGAGGATATTTTCAAAAAGGAACAAAACGAAACGTACCAACTGTTGTCGCAGAAACAGCGGAAGGGAGAAAACTTGTAGCGGTTTTACTCAATTTTGAAGGGACTGGCGGCGCGATGTAACTTGGGAACATTGGAGAGGAGGATCCTCAGCGACGTGTTTGTTGTGATCATGACCAACAAGGAAGCACAAACGGAATTTGCAATTCGACAAAACGCCAGATGAAGTATACCAAATCGCGTCATCGAACAAAAGAGGAGATAATTACGTAAGAAAATACAAGGAGCAGAATGGCAACGGCGACGGCGGGGGCGCTAAAAATCGAGTCGGAGCCGATAAGTGCTATCCGTGAAGTATACAGACGCCTATTCCAAAAGGCAGCCGAGTACCATACTGAGGGAGTATAATGGGTAGCACAGACAGGCGATTTTTTAAAAATGACGAAATCGGATTCACAACTGATCACATCGCAAAAGCCCGGCAAGAAATGCAACGTGCAACTTTTGCAAGAAGACGAGTCACTACAAAAGAACGTGCCTCAAAAGGATCTAATCGAGTTCGAGTTGGACTTATACAGGGCGAGGACGGAATCAGCGAACAATTTGTGGAGCAAGACTCATGGCAAAAACGAGAACTCAGTTGGATGAGTCAACGACCACAAATGACAATCTCGCGGATGGGACTTGGACAGTTCCAATTAGGCCCCAAAATTTGGCCACCGATGTTGTTTGGTTCAAGTTTTCTAATTGCCGTGGAACGAAAATAACCTATAAATGAATAAGAAAAGCTAGCAGTAGTGTGGGACGCAAAGTACTTCAGAAATTACATATTTGGAAGGTAACTCACGGTGGAAAGTGATCACAAAGTGCCCGTATTTTTGTTAAAAGGTTATAATAATAAAAAACAAACAAGTTTTAACTGGTTAACACGAGGAAGAGACAGGATTTTTCCATTCAAATTCGGGGGCAAAAATTGAAGTTACCGAATACCTTTCAAGACCACCAATCCAAATCCTACGAATGAATCCTACGGCATTTTAGCCAAGCAAATGTGTGGAACCTCCGATGATATCGGTGAACATTATATCTATATCGGTTCACCGTGGACGTAATTGCAGAAAACAGCTTTAATCCGACATCATATTCCTTCGCGAAAAGACTGATGGCGACACAGATCACGGCGCTAGCGCAGGACGTTTTGGGGAAACTCGTGAGGAGACGGTGCAAACGATCATTTTGAATCTATACAACTGTTTGGGCGAACATAGTTAGGACGAACTACACAATCGAAAAACCCATTTGAACTTGACAACCATCACAGACCCTAGGGTTTTTGATGAGTTTGAGGATATTTTTAAAAAGGAACAAAACGAGACGTTCGAAACGTACCAACTGTTGTCGCAGAAACAGCGGAAGGGAGAAAACTTGTAGCGGTTTTACTCAATTTTGAAGGGACTGGCGGCGCGATGTAACTTGGGAACATTGGAGAGGAGGATCCTCAGCGACGTGTTTCTTGTGATCATGACCAACAAGGAAGCACAAACGGAATTTGCAATTCGACAAAACGCCAGATGAAGTATAACAAATCGCGTCATCGAACAAAAGAGGAGATAATTACGTAAGAAAATACAAGGAGCAGAATGGCAACGGCGACGGCGGGGGCGCTAAAAATCGAGTCGGAGCCGATAAGTGCTATCCGTGAAGTATACAGACGCCTATTCCAAAAGGCAGCCGAGTACCATACTGAGGGAGTATAATGGGTAGCACAGACAGGCGATTTTTCAAAAATGACAAAATCGGATTCACAACTGATCACATCGCAAGTGCCCGGCAAGAAATGCAACGTGCAACTTTTGCAAGAAGACGAGTCACTACAAAAGAACGTGCCGCAAAAGGATCTAATCGAGTTCGAGTTGGACTTATACAGGGCGAGGACGGAATCAGCGAACAAGTTGTGGAGCAAGACTCATGGCAAAAACGAGAACTCAGTTGGATGAGTCAACGACCACAAATGACAATCTCGCGGATGGGACTTGGACAGTTCCAATTAGGCCCCGAAATTTGGCCACCGATGTTGTTTGGTTCAAGTTTTCTAATTGCCGTGGAACGAAAATAACCTATAAATGAATAAGAAAAGCTAGCAGTAGTGTGGGACGCAAAGTACTTCAGAAATTACATATTTGGAAGGCAACTCACGGTGGAAAGTGATCACAAAGTGCCCGTATTTTTGTTTAAAGGATATAATAATAAAAAACAAACAAGTTTTAACTGGTTAACACGAGGAAGAGACAGGATTTTTCCATTCAAATTCGGGGGCAAAAATTGGGGTTACCGAATACCTTTCAAGACCACCAATCAAAATCCTACGAATGAAACTCCGACAGTTCCAGCGAATACGTGGTCGTGTCATTTCAGAAATAGAAGAGGAACGCGAGCTGAAGGTAACAGTGGAGAGACTACCGCTGAAGGTCAACGGGAAACTAACCTAAACGTGGATAGGGAGTGGGTCCCCTACGTCAATTTTCACCATCGGGTGGCTAAAATGAACGTTAGGAGCAGCTCCAGTAAACTCTTACCTTTGGGGCCGAATGTCGACTAATTCCGGGTTTTTGGAAACAGTCAGCTGAAGCTGATGGGGATTATGAGAGTGATGCTCCAGTCAAACGGATGGGCGACCGAAGGAGATATGCAAATTTTCAACAATTTTTTTAATTAATGCAAATTTTCAGTCTTTTCACGGGTCCTGTTGTCACATTATGGAGTGCAGCCTGCTCAGGCGACAGCAGAAGGGGTGATGAAAACTTAGGGGCCCTCGGAATACACCGAGAAGACGCTGGAAGTCTGGCAGACCAATTTCAGTATTGATTTTAATAATGTGTTCAAAAGGGTAGGGCGGATTCGGAACCAAATTCCGAAGTGTAGGCAAAGTTCTTCTAATCATTTAAAGGCGCTTCTAAGAAAGAAAGGCGTGTTCCAACTATGCTCAAGAAGAAAAACGATAAGAAAATCCAAAGGTTTGTTTAACAAGGACTTTTAGAAAAGCTTGAGGAATGTACGGATAAATATTTTGTGTCAGCTATTGTAATCACGGTCAAAAAGGCTTTTTAGGCCTAAAAACGATGTCTATGGATTTTCAAACGTTGAAAGATTCCAACCTAAACGAATCACGTACGGCCAAGCGTTCATCGATTGTATTTTATTCCTTTCGGAGGGTACCAAAATCGAACACATCATAATATTGAAAAGATACAAAAAAAGTCAAAATAGAAAAAAATAGCAAAATAACTGTCGAAATGTGAAATTACAAAATCATAATGCAAATGGCCAGGCCGCAAGATCACGAAATTAGAAATCAATGGGTTGATTCGAAAAACAGAATCGCTAAACAATATGTAGCCACTAAAGGTTCTCTCGCAATTAAAGTCATTTATGGGTTCAATCCATAGCTTACATATGTACTTCCTGTCACTGGCAGAAAATTCAGCGCCCTTACGGGAGCTACTAATAAACTGTTTTGTCTGGTCACCGGAACGCCAACTGACATTCTAGGCTCTAAAAACACATTTAGCCAACATTATTCAACTGAAACATTTCGATTTCCACAAAGACATACGAATTATATGTGATGCAAGCTCAATTGGGTTGGGGCTGTTTTAAAGCCATTAGGCCCCAAATGCTGGCAACTGATATCGTTTTCCTCAAAATTTCTGAACGCGGCGGAACGAAAAAACTCTAAAAATGAATTAGTATTGCTAGTGGTTGTGTTGGAGCAGAGTGCTTCAGAAATTACATAGTTGGAAGAAAATTCAAGGTGGTAAGTGCTCCTACCCTTGTTAAATGGAAAGCGCTCGTAACTTAAAAAAAAGAAAGCGCTCGTATCCTTGTTAAATGAAAACATAAGAAAAAGTAAATAATATTTAGCTTGTTAACCGCGGATAGAACCGCTCATATTAACCCTTCATTCCATTCGATTTCTTACTGATTCTTCTTTGGGGACAAAAATTGGGATAGCGTATGACCTTTCAAGACATCCGGTGGGAGAAGCGCAAGGGATTAGTCAATATTATGTTAAATGCCGTGGCAAAAGTGACCTCAAAAAATAAGTTGCTTGCTTAGATTATCGACGCATCAAGAATAATGGCCATCAATTGAAACAGAGCAAATAAATTTACATGATTCAAATACAGGCTTCAATTGCCACCGAACGAAAGCGTAGAAGCATGCAAAAAATTTTGCGTTCAAAAAATGTAAACTTCTTTCGCGTTGCCCAGAATTTTTCACAAGTAGCAGCAGCAGTTTGAAAATAGAAGTGATCAACGAAATTTTAGAGGCCAGTACCACGGAACAGTAGAGGCATAGACCAACACAGTTTTTGTTTTAATTTCATCAAACTTCATATGGGAGGTTTATCCCGTCTTCATGAGCGTAACTCCGCGTGATTGCAAGGTGGTGATGATATCAGAATGCCTACCGGAGCTCTCGGCTTGAAACTTGTTGAGGCCAACTACAAAGCAGACCCTCAGCTCGAGGCCATAAAAGATATGCTCGTAGCAAAGAATCCAGTTTTCGCCAAAAGTCAGGCCGTGTGCGCCTACTTTGGACAGTCCGTCCAAAATTTCCACATAAAAGAGGGATGCTTTGATAAATGAGCAATCAACCATTCCAAATCCTCTAATTGCGACAATCATAAACCGGATCCCCAGGATCCACCATAGGAAAGCCAATATGTTAGCGAGGCACGGGACTTAACTTCCCTTATATTCCTTGGAACGTGGCTTCAGCAGCGGAAGGACGACACAAAATTGCTGCAGATGAAGAAAATTTGAACCCGCTTTGCGCCAGGGTTGATTTGGGTACAATATACGATCTCCGGAGCCCAATGAATGCATTCAACTCAATTTCTGGGTAACCAAAATATATCTGATGAATCAAATAAATACGTCCTCGTCGCGATAGATCAGTACATCCCAAAGCATGCAAACCATGGGTTTGCATAGAAAATTTGATGGACCAAGATTCCAGTTTCACATCGAAAGCAACTAAAAGTTTTGCAGAAGGCATTGGATTATTATGATCACAAGAATCTTTATTAAGAAAAATGGTTGAACGCGCTCTCGCAGTGCTACGCCTTGCACCGAACGCCACTCTTAAAGTTCCCCCAATTGAGACACACCACGGCCGCGAAACTAACACAGTACTTCAAAATCTGACTGATCAGCCCAGTGCGGGTAATGGAGAACTCGGTCATTCGAGATGGGCTGCCGTGTGAGGCAGCTAGCGATGGAAAGCGTAGACCAAAAGACGAGACAGCGCAAGATCCAAACTGTTAATTCAGCGCATTAGAGAGAGAAGCAATAAGAATAGATTAGTAAATCAAAAAATTGCACGTGAGTCTAAACACACCGTTGCATTAGCAAAAGTGGAGTAGCCGAAAATCGAATTTTGATATTCAAGAAGGGGTACACGCTTACATTGCCTATCCCGCCTAAGATGGCGGATTTGCGACGGAAAGCTTAGGTAGAACTGAAAAAGAACCCGAAGGCCGAAAAAGCGACGACAAGGAGCAATAAACGACACCCAAAATCATGGGATGATAAGGATTTTGACTCAGGGTTTGAATTCGAACCGGCACTACTGCTCTGTGGCGCCGAAGCACGCGAAAAAGCTAAGTCGAGTGGACAGGGGACAAGCGGAGCAAAATGCGTCACCGATGGGAGATAAGAACGAAAAACCAGGGGAGACAAGCGGAAGTGCGACGGGAAAGAAGGAATACAGTAGCACATTACCTGTTGCACAGTTGGAAACGATCAATGACAAACACAAAAATCCGCAGGCGAGCGAGGGAGTACGGCCGAGAAAAGGGGGTGAGAAGAAAAAGGCAGGCAAACTGTGAAAACAGCGGCTAGTAACCTATTCTAGCCAGGATTCAAATCGCCAGGACGAGACGACCTCGGAAAAGAGCACAATAAAGCTAATGGCCGTATCAAAAATCGGGGCGTTGATGATTATTACCATCGGCAAGAAAGAAAAGAAAAAGGGAAGCTCAGGAATGGCGGAGAGGGAAAAAAGAGAGTATGTAGAAAACTCAGTCGAAGGTAAAAAAGTATGGTTTGAAACTTAGAAATGAAAAAACATTTGGGCACAGGGAGGAGGGCAGAGCTGCAGGGTCTAAGACTCAATTTATTTTAGTTCTGAGTTTTTACTGGGGACGAAGCGCCCCCATGCCGTTGCTGTGTCATGACTGGTACCTGCCAGCAGCTACGTCTTTGTCCGGTGGTGCCAAAACAGTGGCTAAGAGTCAATGTTCGGATTGCTTAACTGACCTTGTCTATACTGAATTTACATTTTCGTCTATACTGAATTTACATTTTCGTCTATACTGAATTTACATTTACATTACAAACTTTCTACAAGCAACAATTTTTTTTGCAATGAATTTTTCCGAAAAACCCAGGCTTTTGGCTTTTGTTTTGAATAAGATTGAAATCTATTACAAAACATTACAAAAATTTTGCTTCCATTATATTCCTATATTAACTATTATAAACAATTGTAATCGATTCTAGTGGATTGAAAAGTTTCTATTTTGTTTGATTTATGGCGATTACAATGCAAACTTTTTGAAGGCAGACCATGACAATCTATTATTTATTATTATTATCCATGGAACCTAACTGCGTAAGCTTTGACTTCTTTTGTTGATTGTTTAAGATGTTGGCGGACTTTTGGCAAGTGCTGGAACAACTGGTCTCTTGGCAGGCGGATTTGACACCGACATGTTTGACGGGGATACATCCACGTGTGCGACAGGGAATCCTATAGTATTTGAACTGAATCAGCCGATTATTCTCTCAGCTGTCGCCGGAGTTTTTATTGGTAAGATTAGTATGTCTAAATGTCTTCTCAATACACCCCCTTTCAAAGGCAATAAACCCCATTAGTAAGGTTTTGGTATTTGGGACTGAGGCAAGGGGTGGCCAGTCAATAAGCAGAATGGTCTAAGAGCAGAATGAGTCCAAGAGCAGAAAAATAGAAAAATATCAACTTCTATAAGCTAATCGGTAAATTAATTATCAGAAACGTAAATAATAGCAAAGTAACGAACATTGCATGCATAATTTGAGCAATTTAATCAAGAATTTTTCAAAAAATTTAATCTTAAAAATTAATGACATTAATCATTTCATGAATAATTTATTCGTTTTCTTGGTATTTTTTTGACGATTCTAATAATCGTTTTATCAATTAGCCCGTATAAAACAGTATAAGTATTCTGTTTTTCTGCTCTTGGACCCATTCTGCACTTGGACCATTCTGCTTATTGCTCCGCCTCCGAGGCAAGGTTATATGCAAGATTATGTTTGGATCTTTTCTGTTATACGGCCCAAAATATTAAACTATTAATCAAGCTTATATTTTGATTGAAATTATATATTTATTTTCACTGACATAATTTTCAACCAATCTCATTCGAGCATTATGACCAAAGACCCTTATATTTAATTGAAGGTTATAATAAAGATTATACTACCGTAATTTTAAAGTGAGAAACATTATCAACTGAATTATTATTATTTTTTGGTTTCTCGTAATGTAGAAGTCAATTTAAACCAGGCCGAATAACGAAAAACTCAAAATGCAGTCAATTAAAATTTTTCATGTTTTCAAGATATGTTCTGGCTTGTATCTATTCGTTAGATTTCGGGCTAGAGTCATAACTACCACCTGCAATGAACATGAGTAACTGTTAGATGAACTTTTTTTCTTTTGTAATCTAATTTTTCAGAATATCAAATCTTCCAAGATGTAAGTTGCCTCAATGTCATAATGGCACTGTTCAATGTCACAGAAAGATAATGATGCTCATAAAGCTTAGAATTGAAAAAAGGTCACTTGAGATCATTTTATTATAACCCTATGAAATTGAAATAATTTGATTTATAACTCCAACTGAACTGCTCCGACTGGACTGTAAAGCCAGTTAAAATGTTTTTGGTTGACACCATGATAAAATTATCAAAAAGGGAAAAATAATTTTTTCTTTATTGGGGATGTATTGGGGGTGCAACTGCAAAACGAAGCATCAAAATTCTCGTATGCTAATAATAAGACCAATTTTTTGCCTCAATTTAATTTAATCGATTGAACGATCTAATCCGCCGCTTACCGGTAATGTAAGATTGCTATATCTCGATATATTGCCGTACATTTTATACATTTGAGCTCAGAGCAACAAATTGTTTCAGACTAAATAAAAAATTTTCAGTCGAAAACTGACTGAAAAAAACGCCCCAAGCAATAATATTCTGTCTTTCTCCGAAAGACACAACAATAAATGACGCTCGATACCAATTCAATTGAAGCAGGCAATTTGTTCTCATAACTATGTTAATGGACTTCAATTGTATCCCATTTTCTTTATATAGCGCAGGCAGGTGGGCTAAAATCATAATTTAAAAAGTTTCAGATGAACACTATGTTATGAGACGCAAACTATGAAGCGTGTGGTGTTAAAAAAAACGAAAAAAAAAACATACAAAAATCCTTTTCTTGTTTTTTTTTCACCGCGAATACTTAAAACTTTTCAACAGAACTTCACTAGGAATTGGGAAAATTGGAGGAATTCAACCTGATAGAAGCAAACTTGTTGTGTTTTTTTTTAACTTCTTTTGATTTTTCGACTGGCCATTTATACATCATCTCAAAGCTAAAGATGTCCTGAGCTCTAATTTAAGAAAATATTTCACCTGTGATGTTTTTTCTGAAATTTATGTAGTTTGAATGGCCGAATTTTTTAAACTGAGCCAGTTAATGCGCAATATATATAGTTAATTTAAGGCGCAAAAGGCTATTAAAATTGCACAAAAACCGTTCTAATTTGATTTGAGTCAAGCGGTTTGAACTTTTAGATAGAATACTATTTACTAAATGCATCAGTTTTGGACCTCATTTTGAGCTTGTTTACGGCTCGGGTCATAACTTTTGAACCACTGGTCGCACAGCTCCCATCTTTTTCATGCAGCTGACCATCAACCATATCTAACTTCGCTAAGCGAGAAAAAAATCTGTGCAAGCACTCCTTCAAGCTCAAATTTGATGCATGTTAAGATATGAATGAACCTATCTCAATTCTCCTTCAGTTTTATTATTCCAGTCACTGAAATCAAATTGCCACGGCTCCCAAAACGAAGAGCTTTGGAAAACTCAAAATCAAGCTAATTTGTCAGAATTTAGATTTCGTTTAACTATTTTACATATTGTCTGTTTTGTTTGTTTTGATAACTGCTGATAAGGTAAATTAAGATAGGGCTATCTCGCATGTACTGGAGTCTCATGTTATCATTTGATCGTATTTTTCTTTTCCAACGAAGCATTGATTACTGATGAAGAGATTTATGAACGCGTTCTAGTGGGATCTACTCCATAAGAATATAAGTTGACCAGTTTTAATAGGAACTCTAGATGAGGTGGTCAGTTCCTTCTGATTTACAAGCGACCAATATCCAGGATTTTGAAAACGAAAGTCGACAACGTACCTTTTTTCGATTGCCTCCTATTATCAATTGTCTCCTTTATCCACCTCGGTTGATATTTTGAAATTACTGTACATACTGTGTGCTGTGATGATAAAAAAACCGTTTCATAACCATCAAAATGCATTCGAAGCAATCAATGCTTCGCCCTCATACGAGCAGTTTTTTGTTTTTGAAAAATGTACAGCGCACTTTCGTTATTTTTAATATCTGGGTTAGGTGTAACTGATCACGAAATTCAAAATAACAGTGTGTTTTTATACATGTGATACTCTTCTGACATAATGTTTATCTAAACAAAATATAGATTTTTTAAATTTTGAAGTAACATTAAAATGTGATTAACGCTTTCATTCAATTGATTTATCAGCGAAACGCTCCAAAGACCGGCCCATTCAGCATGTGATTTAAAAAATAAATCAGCCACCAGTTTAGCAACAGAATGTCCATATTCAAAAAAATTGGTGGTTGTGTAAATTTGATGCATGTTAAGATATGAATGAGCCTATCTCAATTCTCCTTCATTTTTATTATTCCAGACACTGAAATCAAATTGCCACGGCTCCCAAAACGAATAGCTTTGGAAAACTCAAAATCAAGCTGATTTGTCAGAATTTAGATTTCGTTTAACTATTTTACATATTGTCTGTCTTGTTTGTTTTGATAACTGCTGATAACGTAAATTCAGACAGGGTTATCTCGCATGTACTGAGTCTCATGTTATCATTTGATCTTATTTTTCTTTTCCGACGAAGCATTGATTATTGATGAAGAGGTCGATGAACGCCTTCTAGTGGGATCTACTCCATAAGAATATGGGTTGATGAAGAGGTCAGTTCCTTCTGCTTTACAGGTAACCAATATCCAGGATTTTGAAAACGAAAGTCGACAACGTATCTTTTTTTGATTGCCTCCTATTATCAATTGTCTCCTTTATCCACCTCGGTTGATATTTTAAAGGCTATCCTATTGGAATTTGCTAGTCTGGTAGCGCGCATTGTTGCTCTTCTTTCGAGTGAAATACGGTATGTGGTAATTTTAGAATTCTCCTCAACAATGCTTATGACTAAAACACAGCGAAGCTCTTCGAACCCAAGGTCAAAACAGGGGTCGAACAGATTAGTCTTTTCTAAGTCATTACCGTGGACATACATTTGATCAAATCATGTATTCATCAGTTAATTTTACCAATCATTTCGCAGGTAATGGTAATCTCAGGAATCACTGTCCTGAGTTTTCCCTCGAAAATAGCAAAGAAACTTATGCCATTCATTGATTCGTGGTGACGAAAATTGCCTATAAAGGCAACACACTCGAAATAGACTGAATTCATGTGTTAGTTAGTTGAAAAATTCTAGAAAACGTCTAAGATACTGTGGCGTCTATCCAATGCTGTTTTGATAAAAACAGTTCGCTGAGAAAGACGTAAGTTGGTTGAAGATGAAATAGTGGCTCAGAGGCGTCTAACTTGACAAACGCAAGGACAAATAGCTGCTTCTTACTTCAAATTTTATGAGGCGGCAGTGACTGCCTGCCTTTCCTATAAATCGAAAAAGCAAGTGATCAAACGGAACCACTGTATCGTTGAAGTGGCATCGAAATCAAGTTATTTCGCTGAAGATCCTGCAAATAACCTGCAAATATCCTGGATGGAAGAAGTCGAGTCTTACTTGTGCCACGAAAACGTATATGATTGCTGTCTGCAATTTTTGAAATAAACTCTATTAATTAGACAGCGGAATCGTTCTTTTGGAGATGAAATGTTGAGCTGTTTTGATAACATAAAAAAAACTGGGAAGGTACCAGAGCTACTGAAGATTGATCAGTCATTCCATTTCGCTTGCTGAAAAAAAAACTATGAAGGACAAGGACTTTTATCACCTTTAAAAACTAAAGAATTTTACTAAGCCAGAAAAAATGTAGCTAAAGTACTGATAAAAAAATCTCCATTAAGAAATTTCTAATTCGAACCAGTCTGCTTATCTATTTCAACATTGAAGGAAAACAGCTGTTCGGAAAGATACATCTGATGTGAGTTGAAGGATAGATAAGAAAAAAACGTTTTTATAGGCTGTATCGACCTCCCACTGTTCTCTTCTTTCGTTTTTGCAAAAAAAGGATTGGGTATTAGGGGCAAAACACTTATCTAGTTTCACAACTCTTGACTGACGGAAACGACATCGTAAAATGTTAAGGCTCTAAATTATCCTGGCAAAAACAAAACAACAAATTGAGTGTTACCAGCAGTTGCAGCAGTGGGACTTCTTCTGTTCATTGTTGATCAACGCGTTTTTGGGGAAAATCTGAGAAAAAGGAATGTGCCATACCTCAAAATTGCGGTTGAAAGCCTTTTGTATATAGCTTTCAGTCCGTTTGGGATGCTCTCAGTGCTGATAATCAAAAACGTATCAGTAAATTTGAAGTTGTGTTTGACTCATTAGGACGAGCTTTTAATGAGTAGAAAATTGAATAACTTGTCATACCAACAAAAAACAAATAGAGTTTTTGGCCCAGAACGTGACAGTTTTAGTTTAAAACATTGGAATGAAAATCAGTCAGAAACTTAAAATTTTTTGTGATGAAGTTTAATTGTTAGTATATCAGATTAATTGTATTACTAGACTCTATCAAGGCATTTCTGTAGAAGATGAAGAAATGTATCATCTGGAAGCGCTGCTCATATAGTTCGTTACTTTGTTATTTCATGGCTGGAGAATTGTAGCAGCCTCTTTGTTTTCATATGACCGCTGAGTAGATACGAAGTTTAGCGCGCTCGAAATGCAGCTGCTTGTTTCATTTTCCTCATACATGGTAGAGCGCATATGTTTTCGGCTCTAACTGAGCTGGATGGCTGCCGGTTAAATCTCCATTTGTTATTGAAATTGCAACGATTGTTTTTCAACATTTGCGAGCAATTCACATGAAAAGTTATCTCTGCATCATTGTGTTGCCCCTGTTACCTTGTGGTAGAACGAGTAAATCGTTATTCCAAGTAAGAACTAAATTACAGTATATAAGTCAAACATTTTTCTACTGCTGCGTTTTGGAACTAAATTGCAGACAATGTTCAAGCGTGCTGACCGAAGACGTTTTTAGGCGCAATCTGAAGACTCCATGTAAATGTAAGAAGTTTTAAAACCTAAGGTTTTTCAATCTTTTTCTTTTTTCTTTCTAACTAGACAATTAGTCGCACAAAAAAGTAAAAGCAATCCCACAGAACTGGAGTCCTATTACCTAGAAGAAAAATGCTGATGCACTGTATATGTATTTCGAGCAAACATATGTATTGAATGTTTTTCTTGTTTTTCAGTAATCATTTTTAATAAGAACAAGTATAGCCGTTCACTATGCAGATTTTTTTCATATTATTTTCGTTTTACTTTCGGCGTGGTGAACAAGGTATATTAGGTATAAAAAACCGGTGTACCGAAAACTAGAGATTAGACATATTTGACAGCCATACTTTAATATGCAAAATGAAAAACAATTTTTGCAGAAAACTACTAAAAAACAAAAAAATACTTTTTGCAAAAAAAGATAAAGCATTAGGAGCAAAAAATATGCAAATTTTTTTCGTTTATTACAGTTTTTTGTTTTATTTTTTTTTTGAATTTTTTGAGTCCAAAAAGGCGTTAAACACTCAAAGTATTCTAACGTTTGCCCATCAAGCTAAGTTTTTGCTTTTTAAATTAACATATTATAAGCTTTTAAGCCATAATAAGGCTACACGCTTGCTTTATTCGCTCGAAATGAGACGAAAAATCAAAAATTTTCAATTGATTTTTCTCGACACTGGGAAAACTTTTTAGTGTTTCAATTTTTTTACTGTGGTTTCGAATATCGACTGCGAGGTCTTTAATATGATATATATTTTCAATCGAGTCCGATGATCAATTGTACTATTTAATTTTGCGTGGAAAACATCTCAAAAAACTAAACACACCCGAATACAAAGTTCCTTCCCATTTTCAATAGTCGGTGCGATGAAACAAACCCAAATATAAAACTCCTCCACCTTTCTAATGGCCAGAACAATAACTAGCGCTTCAAAAACTTGTGATTATAATATTTTTTATCAATATATGATATATTTTTTATCAAAAAAATCGTCCTATTTCATAAGCTTTCTAAAAAATATTTGTGTTTTTTGCATTCATGCAGTATTTTTGTATTCATTCACCTCTCAGGGATATTATTTCAGGAATCTAAGGTGTAGGATATTGCTAAATATATGATACAGACCAGTAGAAAAAACAAAAGCATCGAACTTAATAATAACAGCAAAAAAGACATTCAATTGCTTAGTACAAAGCAAACTCTCACTAGACTTCGCAAACAGAAATCAAACTTCGCAAGAATCCAGAATAAAGCGAGACTAACGTTTTTTTCAGCAAGATTTGTTGGAACCCGCACCGAAGTTTCATGGATAGAAATCGACATAATGGATTTTTGTTGACTAAAATGTCTATATAATCGATTATCATAGCAAGTTTAGACAACGTAATGGATATGTAATCCATTTCAATCGATTATTTTTGAAAAAAAAAATCAATAAAATCCATTATAATCGATTTATAATCATTATAATCCATTTTAATTTTCAATTTAATGGATTATTTTTTGTACGTAAAACCCATAAAAATTGTGAATCTATTTTTTTGCAACATGCAATACGTTCATCCAGGCCGGCCAATATGTAGTAATTTTGAAGAGGCCAATATGTATTAATATTCCAAAAAGTGCCCAAAAACAGCATTTTTGACCACCCCCACGTTTACCACCCCGCTCGTACCCTCCATCCCGAAAAGATTTAAATCAAGGGATTATAATCCATTATAATCGACTAAAATGGATTTTTTTTCTTTTGATAAAATTTTTTGAAAATAATCGCGATTATAATCGATTATAATAGATTATATGGGGATTTTATTGCCCTAAAAATATTATCATTATAATCCATTTTCAATCAAATATTTTTGTTATTTTATAGAGACTGACAATGAAAGTCCAATAATCGATTATTATCCATGAAACTTCAGTGCGGGAAGAAGTATTTCAAGAGTGTTGCAAGTAGAATGAGATGTAATGATTATCAGCTCTTATAAATATACTTAAATTACGCACAACATTTCTAAATAATAGCACTACGCATGTTACAAAGATATTTATTGAATTTCTGCCCGACTTGTGTTTTTGATTCTAAATACTTCTCGTAAGAAAATCAAAAAAGTTTTTAAAAAGCATTAAATTTATCCTAAACGTTCTTCTCAATTAACTTGTTTATTATTAATTCAATTTTAATTGTCCATAAAGATAAATGTTACTTTTTATGACTTAATTTTTTATTTATCAGTTTCTATTGTTTTTTTTTGCTCTGTTTTGCATCTATATTCAACTCGTGGGGAGCAATCGCTTATGCGTTCATGGAATACAATATCAGAAAAACTTCTATCTTATTTGTGTTTTTCAGAGGCAGCCAATCAAACGCAGATGTCCCAGGATTTGTATGTAATAGTTGAGGGCGGTCCTAAAGAGGGGGCAGCCGCTGGCAGTGTGACACAATGTGGAACTGGAATAGGACAACAACTGTTCACTCTAAACCCTCTTGGCACATTCCCTGGAACCTATTGTCCGTCTGGAATTTACACAGACAGAATCGTACTGCAATCCGACGATGGAGCTGATTTTTTAGCTTGTGAAGTGGCTATTATTGGATGGCGGAGTAAGTGTATTTACCGGTTTTTGAAAAAAATTAAAAAATGGTAAAAATTAATTTTTGTTTGACCTAGACAGAACAATAGCTATATAACTGTGCATCTGGAACTAACAGCTATTTTAGATTATGCGTGTAAAATGAAGATGTTAAATTATGAAATAAAATGTGATCCAGATTTCCAGAATAATCAAAAAAGTACCCGCATTGGAAAAAAGGGGTCAATTTTAGTTGCAAAAAAGTATCTATAATAACAAATGCGAATAATGATGGATCTGGATGAATTTTAAAACGATTTAATTTGATCGTATTTCTAAGCCAAAGCAATCTAAGTTGATTTAATTTAGATCTAAATAGATCTTTTGAGATTTTTTGCACCTTTGTTTCAAAGCAATTTAACATTATACACAGAATAAACACAAAACTTTCTTGAGTCGGTCGACTCTAATCAAATTACATGATTCTGTTAATTTTTGCTTTTCAGTTTTTTTCCACTAAAATTGAACTGGGAAGTTTTTTTAGCATTTACGATATGCGGACTTTCTGCAGATGAAAAAATTGTTATAAATTGAAGTTACCAGTTTTATTTGCTGTTCTACTTTAAAAAACTGATCTAAATTCTTGACTTAAGAAATGCATTTTGGAAAAAAGTTTCTTTATGTTTAATTTTTGTCAATATGAGAACCCTTAGGTTCCAAAATCATAAATCGATCCCACTGAAAATAAATAGTTGCTGTGATATCGAAAAAGTTATCGAAAAGGTTAGAAAAAATACTCTTTTTTGTGGAATTCTCGTTTGAATAATTTTGCAGGAAAATCAATCATCACTACTGTTTTATCCGGAAGTTGTTTTTTTTTCTGTGAACTACATTAACAGTGTTTTAAAGACATATTTCTTTTAAAACCTCTCTGCGTTTTCGGAATCATTAAAAAAGTTTTTGTTCAGGTAATTATTTTTTTGATGCTCATCAACGAAGCAGTTCCTAAATTGATTTGATGTCAAAGGTGGCCCCTGTTTATTACCAAACCGATTTTTAATTGTTCATACAATTGTTGATTTTAAGTGAACATTTTTTGATTTTGTGTACGCAAAATTTTTTCAAAAATTAAAAAGAAAACATTTTACTTTTTTTTCAAACGATTTAAGGTACCCAATAAATTGAGGTACACTACGCAAATTTAAACAATCTGATGAAAAAGCATTGCCTTTTTAACAGTTCTGTTGATCAACTAACTGCAGTGAGACCAAAAAATGGATTGGTGTATTTTTTCGCGCAATTTCCTTTAAGACAAAAAAATTATGTGTACATGATTAGGGGATAAGTAATTCTCATAAGTGTTCAATGTTTATTCGAGCTGCAAGGAGAAAACTCTGTATTTACGAAACAGGCCCATAAAAAACAGTCCAAGACAAAACAGTCAGGAAAAATGTTAAAATGAACGGAAAAAAGTCCGAAAAACAGTCCCAAGTAATATTTATTTTATGTTGTTTATGTTCAACTAAAATAAACAACAAAGTATTGACCACCGGAGTCACCCCAACGTGTCGCGAGCTTGCCAACAAAAGGTCTACAAAATTTAGAGCCGGTTATCGCCGCCAAGCGGCAACCATAATTCGGACAGTTTTGTATTTGACAGTTTTTTTGTATCCTTCATGCTTTTTTGGACTGTTTTGTATTGAACTGTTATGTATGGGACTGTTTTTTATATGCACTGAGAAATCAATTAAATTCCGGTTTTGCCATACTATTTGATGAGAGCCAAGCGTAATAATGTTTTGTTGATTTTGAAAGAGCAAAAAAGTTTCTACGTCCATAAAACATTCTCTCGTGTAAACTAAAATTTCTGACTTTTTTTGCTTAAGCTATCCCCGCACCGACAAAAATGATTTCGGATCATCTTAATTTGATTTTGAATTGATTTTCAACGGATCCAAATCGATTAACAATGTACATTTTATGAACTTACATGGATTTTAAATAGATTTAAATCGATCTTTCTGGAAAATTTTTGATAGGCTTAAGTGTCCTAAAAATTAGATTAAATTGATTTAAATGAAATTTCAGACTCGTTTATGTCCTTTTATTTGCTAACACACAAAAAAACTTATTCATTGAAAAAAAATTAAATGAAATGTTTTATTATTGATTTTAAATCAATGAAATCATAGAAAGTTTTTTTGAAAATCAGAGCAAAGACTTATAAAACGATCAAGAAAAAGGACAAAATAGATCAGTTTGTAAAATTAAAATATGCCAAAAAATCATAAGATTTGAACAATATTTTGGTCTTTTTATTTGGTCTTTTCTATGCTACAATACGCTTGGATGTAAAAAAAAAATGATAGGCAATGAATAAATGCAATAAAAGTTCAAAACTGATGAAGCTGGAAAGAAAAAAAATCTATTTAAATCCCCTGAAAATGAAAACAAATTAGGACTGGAAAAAATTTGGATTTAAATTGATTCAAAATCGATTTGGATCAATTTTTTTAGCTGGGATTTTAGATTATTTAAATCGATCCAAATCAATCTGTATCTTTTTTTTATCTTCGTAGTTTTTTTTCATACTAAAATTGCTCTAAATTTAATCAACGTACTTTTTTCATATTTAAATGAATTCTAATCCGTTTTTGCAGTGCGGGTCTGACTTTTTCTACTTTTTCTTTTGATGTTTTTGTTTTTCTGAAAATGAAGTTCAGATTGTCTAAAATATTTTTCAATCCCGTTTTTTGTTTAATGAAAATTTCAAGTTATGACACTACTATTAATATATAAGAACAGTAAGAATAAAAATGTTTTTATAAGTTTCTTAAAATAAAATTTTTGAAGTGCTAAAATTCTATACTTCGAAGATACTAAATAAACTAAGATTAAAAGTGATATAGGAATGAAAAATATATTAAGTTGAAAACTGTTTTGGAACAATACGACCACCAACAATGGTATTACCGCTCCAACGGCTTGAATGCAATCACAGCCAGAAAGTAACAAACAATCTTATGTAAAAAAGTGAGCAATCACAACAGTCCACTAATTAGGAAAAAAATATAATTTGCTTCCCGTTGATTTAATACGGACATATATTTTCATGGTCAACAGGTGGGTGGATAAAATTGTTCAGATTTTGCGATTATAATACTGAAAGTAATCACATAATATAGTACGCGACAGTATGCATGAGTTATTAGCAAAAAAAAAACAAGTCTGGAAAGTACAAGAAACTTTTTTAAAAAGTGTAAAATTATTTTGAAAAAATATAAAAATGCCGCCATATAATATGAATTTAGCCTGTAGAGATTTAGTACGAACTTGTCCTAGAGATAAAATTACTACTTGATCAAAAAGAAGCTCAATTAAACCATGATGAAGTTGATTCAGATTAAAAAGTTTTATTTTCCATCTTTAGGAAATTCACCGACACTTTTTTAAGAGTTGGCTCTCTGCGATTGATTTGATGTCCTCATAATTTTAATTAGATCATTCCTTGACGCCCAGGGAAGCAGTAAAATCTTCCGTTTCCCTTTGTTAAAGTTATTATCACGTAGGCTCAACATCCCAGTTTTGAAATTCTCTGGCAAACTTCTCTACATGAAAAAACAGCCCACCGTCTTTTCCTAATCATTCAAAAGCAAAGCATAAAAGACTCTGTGGCAAAGAATGTGGCAAAATTACCTGTATCGGAAATAGCCGTCTTGCGTTACTGATGTTTTGATCGGCATTTTTTTGCCGTCTGTTGGAGTTTTTTTTACACTCGACTCGAGGCTCTTTAGTCCGGATGGGGATTCAGCTATGGCCAACTCTGACAATAATTTCAGTCTAGTTTCTTTAGTCCGATTTTAATGCGGGAACGCATCTGCTTGTGCAGGAGGATTTAACTAAGTTATGGTTTTGTTTCTGAAAAACCTCTAGTTTTTTTCAGTTTGAAATTGAGATAGCAATGTCTGAGTGCTTTCTGAGGACCTTAATCTATTGGATAGTTTGATTGTAGTTTCAGCCGGCGTCACAGTTTCATCTCCAATTTCACAATACTGAGGATGGTCGTGTTTTTTGTTCCGTAACTTCTCTGAAAAGCTTACCTGTTTTTATAGGTCTGATTCGTGCTTGTCTGCTTGTTTTGCTTCGAAAAGTGAAGTAGCTGGACCGATTGGTATCAAAATTCTCTATGCGAGGTCTTTTTATTCTTGGAAGTGTGACATAACCCGTCTAGTACTGACTTAAGGCTAACGAGTTAAAAGCAAATAATAAATAAATAAATAATAAAAGTAGCTACTTTATGTAAAGAATAGTTAGATACACTGTATCGGTAGAATAGACATTTACAAATGCCGTTTTGTATTGAATACATAAAGCACTCAGAGTAGAATAACTGTATCACGTTAAGGATATTGTACCACTGACATCATCACATTTTAACTAGTTGAACGCGGCCTTCAATGGAGTCGTATGAAGATTTAACACATAATAATAGACATAAAAATTATAGATATACATAGATTGAAAGAGGCAGCGAAGGGTCGCCTTACGATATTCCCCGCGGTAGGAAAACTTTTAGTAAGGCTTTAGTACTGAATTTTTTAACGGCTTTCATCTATTTCTCTGCTGCTTTTGGCTCATCCGCGTGTTTCGTCCATTTGCATGGGGTCGACTGCTCTTTCGTGATTGGGCCTAAAAAAGATCGCCAAAAATTTTAGTAAGGCTTTAGTACTGAAGTTTTAAACGTCTTTCATCTATTTCTCTGCTGCTTTTGGCTCATCCGCGTGTTTCGTCCATTTGCACGGGGTCGACTGCTCTTTCGTGATCGGGCCTAAAAAGATCGCCAAAACTTTTAGTAAGGCTTTAGTACTGAAGTTTTAAACGTCTTTCATCTATTTCTCTGCTGCTTTTGGCTCATCCGCGTGTTTCGTCCATTTGCACGGGGTCGACTGCTCTTTCGTGATCGGGCCTAAAAAGATCGCCAAAACTTTTAGTAAGGCTTTAGTACTGAAGTTTTAAACGTCTTTCATCTAT